CGGAAGTTCAGTTCCCCCACCAGAGTCTCCTCCTAGCGCGGCATACTTTTTCCTCTACCTGTCCTAACCGAAAGCCTTATCACTTGTGGAGACAACTGGAAAACCCTCCCCTTGCCATAGAGTCTTCTCCTGGCACCCTGTGCTTCTCTCCCCCCCACCTCACCGGAAGTTCCTCTCAAAATTGTGGCGCCGACCGGTGACGGAGCTGCAGCAGAGGGAGGAAAGAGCCACATGCGGCTCCAGAGCCGCAGTTTGCTGACCCCTGCTCTAAGGCGTTGCTGATGCCACAAACCCATTTATTTTCCGTTAAGCACTGGTACCACAAAGCAAAAAGTCACTAGTGTAACTGGCCTCTTCAAGAATGCCCCACCTCCATTTTTCTCATAGAAGAAAGTCTGTAAGGTGGGCAGATGTTAAGACAGGCAGGTCACAGCACTGTAACAAAACTTCCTCTCCTTTTGTCTGTCTGCTGACACTACGTACACGGACAAAGGGGTTGGGGGTTTGGTTGCAATGCTGCAACCATGACTTTGTTTCTTCTGATCCACTCTGAGGGTGCCATTACCGCTTCAATACTTACAACTGAGCTTATGAACCACCACTCACCCGCTCACTTATAAAACTTTGTACCAAAGGACAAGAAGTGCCCCGGTTACAGAACTCTTTCCTAAGGAACAATTCAGAAGGTCTTCTTTCCGAAGTTATAATAAGATATGGGCTAGGTATTTGTGGAATAGCTACTTCGGGAGAAAACTCTCCTTTAAATTCTCTTATACTGATTTTTTGCCTCCATTCTATTCATACCCCTGGCACTCATCTTGTTTCACTTTTTATATTTCTTATTTTTAAACAGTGCTGGATTTCTTGTGCCTTTCTTGAAGGCTTTATTAGTTTATTATAAACAACTTTGGGCTCCCCCGGAAGGAGGAATGCTACAGAAATAAAAGCAATAATAATAATAATAGTAATTTACACAGCTGAGGACAGTTCTGCTTGCTTTATCTCCTGCTGTTCAAAGAGCAGATATACTCAGGGTTATTTTGTCTCTTCTGCAAGGACACTCTGTCTCAGTGATAACTTCAATCCTGCAGCTTTTTTAACGCACAGAATCTCTCTTATATGTTTCCCTCTCGGATGCAAGTACTCTAGAATCCCCCCAAACTCTACACTGTTTTTCATAAAAGTAGTCCTCGCTTAACAACCATTTGTTCAGCGACCATTCGAAGTCACAACAGTACTGAACAAATGGTAGTTACACCCATTCCTCAAAGTTACAGCCACTGCAGCATCTACAATGGTCCTATCATCAAAATTTGGATGCTTGTCAAATCTATCCACATTTACAGCCACAGCATGTACCAGTGGTTCCCTTGGCAGGGTGCATCTCATCACCCACGGGAAGAAGAAGGTAATGAAGGTTTAGCTGGGGGCAGTGGAGAACAAGGTGTGTGGGTGTGAGGGAGAGAGAGAGAGAGAGAATGGACAGCAGGGTGGCCAAAAAAGCAGTGATGGGGAGAGATAAGTGGGCGAGGAGAGTTGAAGCAGAGGCTAACACAGCAAGGCACAAGTGTGAGGTCATCACCTAAAGACTGGAACCAGGACTACCATTAACTGCTGTCACTAAATAGTGGAATCGCACGATGTTTCATCTAATAACCACTTCACTTAGGGATGGAAATTCCAGTTCCAAGTAATTTTGTTAAACGAGGGCTAGCTATAATTTAAACCATTTGAGAAGAGTGAAACTTAGCTTACCGCAAGCTGAAAAAGAAGGCGACAGTGCCAGTAAGGCGTCTGTTGTGAAATCTGGATGGCTTTACGCAGCAGTGGCTTTGCTGTGTCAACAGAATTCTGAAAAGTATGGACAATAAAAATCAAATTATCACACGGAGGATGGAGGAGGAGGAGGAGGAGGAGGAGAAGGACTCAAACACAAAATCAATTGGAAAAAGTCACGCCTCGTAAAGCAAATGGAGTACCATTCTATTAATTGGAGCGTGCACAATTTTGCAGAAATGACACATCACTTTTTCGAAAAACACATTTTAGCAAGTATATTTGTGTAAAAGCTGTGTGAAGAGGTCCAAAGATCAGGAGCAAAGCCAGCAAAGGGATTCCGTCCATGATATCTACAGTTAAATGCATTCCAGACAGACCCACTGGGCAGATTGTTTTACCTTTCTAGAGAAGGACAGTCAGAATAGATGATGACTGGAAACTCAAGAGAGATTCTGCACTCACCAAAAGTTACATCTGCTTTTGAACACTTAACCTTTAGAAGCTTCCCAAAAGGGGCACCAAGATACTAACTCTACTTTTTAAGAGTTAGAATACAGTATTGCAGGCTAACTCTGCCCACAGTCAGGAGTTTGATTCTGATGGGCTCAAGATTGACTCAGCTTTCCATCCTTCCGAGGTCAGTAAGCTGAGGACTCAGATTGTTGGGGGCAAAATGCTGACTCTGTAAACCACCCAGAGTGCCGTAAAAGCATTATAGGGCAGTATATAAATTGCCATTGCTATCATCATCATATACATCAAAATAATAAAACATAATCAAAGCTCAGTTCCTTTGAATGGAAGTGCTACTGACATGCAAATAACTCAGGTAACAAACTTCGATAAAGTGTCTTAACTCTTTTCTATTTTGTATGGAAGAAAGTCATATATATTTTGTGTATCAAACCCATTAAATATTAGCATTTAAAGAACTGCATAGGAAAGATGCTCTTCTTACCTCTTGACAGTACAACTCAGACAGGAGGCTGGCAGCTTCAAATTTGACATCTTCAAACTGCGGAATCTGGTAGTGCCCAAGTTAAGCTAATAACACTTTCTGTTAAAAGTTAAAGCAATAGACATTTTTAGTTGGAAAAGATCCAATGCTGTGTTTAATGTAGGATATGCCAAGTACTGAAACGATACTCTCTATAACTTCTCAGTGCTCCTGACTGTAATGTATTTAACTAACCACAATCTTTTCGCCCTGCTTGAATAATTTCAGCAAAGTTAGGCCCTAATATTTTTAAATCAGAGGTCACCAATGCCTGGGCCTCAGACCACAACCAGTCCTTAAGCCCTTGGGAACCAGGCTGTGGAAGTGATGGGCGAACATACGTGTGCGCATCCCCACTTGCATGAGTGGTGGGAAATCAGGTCAAGTTGGTGTTAACTTTCAAAACAACTTAAGGTAAAGGTGGCGGTGCTCATCTCTGTTTCAAAGCCGAAGAGTCAGCGCTGTCCGAAGACGTCTCGGTGGTCATGTGGCCAACATGACTCAACACCGAAGGCACACGGAACGCTGTTACCTTCCCACCAAAGGCAATTCCTATTTTTCTACTTGCATTTTTAAGTGCTTTTGAACTGCTAGAGTGGCAGAAGCTGGGACAAGTAACGGGAGCTCACTCCATAACATGGTGCTAGGGATTCAAACCGCCAAACTGCTGATCTCTCTGATCGACAAGCTCAGCGTCTTAGCCAGTGAGCCAGTGTGTCCCTCAAAGCAACCTACAGAAGTTTAATTGAGAATTCCAGTTTTCATGAGATCAGAAAAAAGGATACTTGTTGTGATATCAGCCACTGTAAAAAGGAGAGAGAGAAAAATTAGCAATTCCTGAAATTCCCCATCCCTGGTGGAATTTATAGCAATCTCTAAAGGGAACAATTAATGATCCATTCCTGAAATGCAAATGAACAAATAATTTTTACGATAGTTTATGGCCAATCAAGACACAGTGAAGTGTCAGTGCTGCACTGTCCTTTCCCTTCCTGCCAAACTGAATCTTCCTGCAGTCTCAAAACTTAGAAAAGACCAATTCTTGCTTATCCAGACTTTACCCATCCTCTTGAAATGCTTATTCTTTTTATTACTTGAAATAGTCACTTTTCATTTTTCCTCTACCTCCTGAAGTTCACTCTTAAATGTTGTATCTGTTTAAGGGGCTATAAGCTCAGCAGGAGCCCTAATATTCAAATTCTGGAATCTCCCAAGTTAGATGGACAGGCTTGACTCAGAAAGATCATTGCTAATCAGTGTACACTATGAATGGGAAATCAGCTTGCAGGCCAACACATTTCTATTCATCTGGGTTTCCTCCTTATTTTCTCTCTTCCTCTTGATTGATGGGAAACAACTGAGAGACTGCTAAGTGAGACATTTGTTAAGTGAGTTTTGCCCCATTTTACCACCTTTCTTGCTACAGTTATTAAGTGAGTCACTGCAGTTGATAAGTTGGCAACATGGTTAAGGGATCATGGTTTCCCCATTGATTTTCCTTGTCAAAAGGTCGCAAAAGGCGATCACATGGTCTTGGGACACAGCAACGGTCATAAGTGTCAGTTGCCAAGGGTTTGAATTTGAATCACATGACCATGGGGATGCCACAAAGGTTGTGTGAAAAATGGTCACCAGTCACTTTTTTTCAATGCCATTGTAACTTTGAACGGTCACTAAATGAACTGTTCTAAGTCAAGGACTACCTGCATAAACAAAGTTCTTGTGTTCCTACTTATTTCTTTTCTTATCTTATTTTCAAATGTCAGAATTTAAGAGCTGTGCATTCTCCTCCACCAGACTTTTTGGAGAAGCCCCTGCCTCCTTTGCAACTACCTAGAAATAATGTATTTTAGCTATACACTGCTTTTTGTTTATTGTACAACTGTCTTAAAAATCTATCCAGTTATACATGTAGAGAAAACCAAAACAAAAAAAGCATGTACCTCAAACTCATTTGTTTATAACAATGTTGCAATATGTGACACAATAGAGAGGAAATGTACAAACTTCCGTAGGGTTTTTGGCAAGTTTATGTGCAAAAGCAGCAAACACAAAAAGCCCATGAACTGTCTTGCCCAACCTGACGTCTTCCAGATGTGCTGGTTTACAATCAACATCACTCCCAATTAAAATATGTCACTTTCGTTACTTGAATTCTCAAAGCCTCTTAACAGCCTCTAAAACGCAACAACAGGAAGAGTTTAGAAGTAACATCTACAACCGTAACAGATTTGTCCTTCTATGGACAAGGAGAATGAAGTGCTAAATATACAACCTTGTACTCCCGATCAAAAGGCAAGATAAAAATCTAATGAGAAAAGAAATATTTTTAAAGTCAGGGGCAGGGATGAAAAGAAAAACAGAATCAAGACATGAACGGAGCCGGTATCTTCACCTGCAGGCGGGAAGACCCAGATGAAGAGGATAAGAAATGCTATAATGGGCACCCGATGAGCTTCAGAAGAAACTACTGCAGACTGTGGGGCTACCACTGAGAAGGCCCAGCACATCTGGACAACAGCAGTTTCAACTCTAAGAGTGGCCTTCATAATTAGAAGGGACTTTGGAGGTGTTCTAGTCCAACCCCCTGCTCATGCAGGAGACCCTGTATCATTTAAGATGAGTGGCTGTTCAGTCTCTTCTTAAAAACCTCCAGTGATGGAGCACGCACAACTTCTAAAGGCAAGTCATTCCACAGACTTATTGTTCTCACTGTCAGGAAATTGCACAAGTGTGTCTATAGAATAGAGGATTATAGAATTCTTTATTGGCTAAGAGTGATTGGACACACAAGGAATTGGTGTGTCCTACCTGGGTATACAAATGCAGGAAATCCTCGACTTACAAGAGTTTGTTTAGTGACTGTTGAAGTTACAGTTATAACAGCACTGATGTGCTTCTGTGATTTGTGACTATTCTTCACACATTGGGCCATTAAAGCATCTTGATGGTCACGTGATCAAAATTCAGATGCTTGGCCACTGACTCATATTTATGACCCTTGCAGTGTCCCGGGGATCCTTTGGCGACTCTCTAACCAGCAAAGTCAAAGGGTTCACTTCACAACCCCCTTTACGAAATGAACAACTGAAGTGGTTCACTTAACAAATGGGGC